GGAGCACGGTGAAGGCTGATCAGGGCTAGATAGAGAGGAGCTGGAGGAGCCACATCGAGGCCTGTTGTTCCAGGAAAATGCCCTGACACCATCACTAACCTTCAGCTCATGAAAACTCACCTCATTAGCAGAAGCGGTATCAGCGCTGCCAGGTGAGGCTGCCCAGTGGCTGTTTCTACTACTGCAGAGTGGGAATAGTGGGCATAATGAGTTGTTATACTGCTGGATGGAGCTTCTGAGCTGTTCTGCAGTTATGTGGGATTGATGCCAGAATCAATTTTGCTCTTTTATGCTTAGTTGTGTAGTAGAGCACAGATGTATTTTTCTTTATTTTAATTTGCTTCGCTAGTTAATTGCATGACTTCAACTTAAGAGAAATTTAGCCTTGCTGTATACTTAGAAGAATTTTTCTTTTTCAGACAATATTAATTCTAAAGGCTGCCTTTGAGAATCCCTTACACTTACTGTAAACAGACCTTCGTTTGCAAAGGAACGGATAAAATAAAACCCCAAACATCACTGTTTTTTAAACTGAGTAAAAATCCAGGAGAGCTCACAGGATCCTTGACTGCACAGCACTGCTCTGCCTACAGAGGCCCCAGCACTTGGGTCAATACAGACCTCCATGTGTGGGCAGGTCTTGTCATCTCCACAGAGCTTTGGTCACTCTGCCCAGGAGCCATGAAGATCTGCTTTCTTTCAGCATTAGGACTATACAGAGCATTTAAATGCCCTCACAATGAGATTAAGGTATGCTTTCTTCCCTGTGTCAGCAGTAATTCAGAAATACCCATACTCTCAGCTTGTTTTCACACACACATTTGCCCTTTGCATCAAAATACCCCAGGGATTACAGACCTGCTTTGTAGGAGTAAATCCAGGCACACGTGTAAGTACAGAGATAAAGCTGTTTTATTTGCTGATCTCCAGTGCTCTGCACTACACTTCTACATCTAGTTTCCTCCTGCAGGATTAAAAGCCATCAGATTACAATATGGTGGTTCTAACAGGATGGGTTGGTATCATGCATTGTAGGAAAGTATTACGCATATAAGCAGAACATATTTAGGCAATTCACTGAACTGGATGATAGGTAAAGAATGTATTTAGTTTAAGTCAAGTTTGCCATTTCACCCACCACCACCACCACCTTTTTTTTTATCCCCACATCAAATACAAAAGAACCCCAAATCTATAACATCCCTGTACCACATCAGAAATTAACTTTTCTTAGATCATTTCTGATAACTTTTTTTCTGCAGCTAAGCAGAACAAGGCAGAAAGAAAAAAGGGGGATTTGGGGGGGGAGAAGGAAAAGAACCTGTTAAAAATGATGCAACTGGCTTTTTCCCTTCCCCCAGAACATGAAGATTAAAATAGTGATTGCTTCCATCAAACGCCTTAGATCACAGCTTTCACTAAACACACTATTCAAGCCACATTTCCATTATTCTCATCATCACTTATATAATGGTGACTGATTTTATCATTATTCTTTGTACGCATTCCCCTTAATGCTCTAGGGTTTCTCTCCCCCCCGCCTCCCCTCCCCATTTCTAACCAGCAACAGATAAATAACTTTAGCTCAGTGTCTAAGACAGTGTCTTTTCTCAAAGGAGCTTTTTCTGTCTGGACAACAATATCACAAAAAATATGTTGTGGCATGTGCCAACCAATAAATTCTGTCACTGGGGCTCTTCATTTATTTACATCGAGTCATCTGGTTAACGCTGTCTTTAGAAGACAAAGCATTTGAATATTATAAAGAGATCTTACAATATGAATGGCAACTGTAATGAATTGCTAAGATAAAACCTGCTACCAACTAAGAAACCCTTATAAAAGGAGGAGAACATATATCTGTTTCTCTGCCTCAGCCCCTATTTCATGTTAATGGTTTGGCTTCTTTGTTGTGATTATGACATACGGCTTCTTGCATTTATCTTCTCTATCCTAAAACCTGCCTGTAAAAATACTATACCTGCTGCAGATGTGTTCCTTTAAAAAACAACAACAAAAAAAAAAGTTGATAGCTAATTGTGACCTGGTTTGTTAGTGCATTTAAACCTGTCCTGTTCCACTGCATTCATCTTTCTAGAAATAGTTATGTAAATAATATGGAAGAGGAAATACAGCAGTATGCCATTTACTTCAGAAACATGCTTTTTCCTTGTATCAGGAAAAGGACTACCCAGGAACAAGCGCCAGCAGTGGACGTGTTGGTGCTCCGGCACTGGTCATTTCCCAAACCCTGTCTCCCTTTTCTCAGGTGTAACACTGAGGCTGCAATACTTCTCTGCCATGACCTGCCACAGGGCTCAGAAAATATTCAGATACTACTGGAAAATGACATAACACCAAACAAATACAAAATGTTGTTTTTAAAAAAAAGGTCTGTTTTCCTTCTCTATGCTTCAAAGTAAGTTTTTCCTTTTATGTAGAGAAAAAACTGCTTGTGAAAGTTTCAAAGCTGCCTCAGTGCCTTTTCCAAAAACACTTCTGTTACCCAGGCTCTTTTGAACGGTTTCTTGTTTGGCTCCACAGTCATCTGGTATATGTAGCCTAAACTCTTCATAACAAATAGAATTCAAGAGAGGAGCTTTTGACACTGGATGAACCTAGGTGACCAGGGTATTCCCGGCTCTACCAAAAACATTTACATCGTCAGAGGAGGACAAATAGAGGGGATTTTTTCTTAGATTTATAATAAAAAAATTGATAAAACAGAAATAAAACATGGATAAAAATTTAAAAATACTGATTCCCTTTGTAAAGAAATCACTGATAATAGCAATGTATATTTTACTCTCAGAAAGTAACCTTTTTCTTTTCACCACACATAGCCAGAAGGTTTTCTTGCACAATCAATCTTTGTAAGCTACAAAGTTGACTGCAAAGTGGATATATGTTGAAGGATGTGGGTACAGATCCTCAGCACCTTCTGTAACAGGGATACACACAGAGTGGGAAATTCTGCCCCACCAAAATCAATAAGACTAGCACCATCAGATTCTGCAGGATCAGATATTCAGCTCTAACCTTTACAGTGCAGCTCAATGGAGGCTTAAGTTCTTTAAGAAAACATAATCAAGCCCCTAATCTGAAATACCCTTTGAAATTTTACGTGTCTCCTGAGCTGTTGCTTCTGAACAAGAAAACTACTGTAGCAGTGACATAGGAAGACAGAAGGAAAAGTAATGACAAAAAAGAGAGAAGAAAGAGTTTCCAGACACAGCTCTATCTAAGCTGGCTTAGCTTATCTCTTCCGGGAGAAGCTCCTACTGACGTACCTGAAGTGTGGTACAATACAATGAAAGTCAGCTCCAGATCTGGAAAGTAGCTCAAAAATTGTAGTCTAAAACCCATGTATCTTTCTTATTTAAACATTTAAACATGAGCTAAGAGAACTGCCCATCTCCAGAGACCACCTCTGAGCAGAGTCAGTGCTCAGCCTTGTGTGAAGATAACACAAGCTGCTCTGCAGCGACTTCTCCAAAGTTCATTTTTCCTTTCAATAGCAAAGTAATTAGTTAGTAAATCTGATTTTTGAGGCCGAGGAGAAAAATGTAGGAGATTTCCATCAAAACATATCTCCTTAATTGAATAACTTCCTAGACTCTCCAGTTAAAGTTTAAACAACTGTTAATGACGCTGAAGCAATCAGAAATGTTTTGCCAAGGGGAAATCAACAGTGTCTGAAGATAGTTCAGTATTATTGCTGAATGCTAAAGGCAGCTTCTGAAGATGATATGTTCACAGACTAAAGAAGTTAGGTACATCTCATCTCTGAAAAGTATACTGACACCTTTAATGCCATTTTTCTTCTGTCTCTGTAGGAACAATGTTTCCTTTACATTACACAAATATTGATGAGTGAGCTTTCAGATTTTAGCAATTTTATACAAAATACTGATGGTTCCTTCCGAAATAAACTCTTATGGCAAATAACCTTTTTATAATATCATGCATACTATGTGCTATGACCTCAGGGTGGTTTAGATATACATACGTATCATATATACACTTTTTTGGGGCACAGTGGTAACACATTTTGATTGGTCATAATAGAAAACTATTAAGTCTTTTTCAGCAATGTAAATCATTCACCTTCTTGCCCTGTCTTTCCACTTCCTCCCAAACCTCAGTGTTCTGTGCCAAAACAATGTTGTGTCTAGGAAATGACCTCATCTGACTTATCTCATAGGGGTGCAAATGTAGCCACTTATCCTCCTGAAATTCCCCCCCAAATTCCTATATGTTTGGTCCACAAAAATAAGGAATTCGGGTAGATTTTTCTGCCACTGATTCCCTGACATTTTTATCAGGAGCGTCAACCAGCTGTGCATTACACTTTAAATCAGTGAAAAATCCATTTACAGCAGTTAGAGCAATATGATACACTGGACTTGGCTAACAAGTGAAGAAATTGGAAACAGATTACCTATACCAGCACATCCAAGCCTAAACTGACTTTTAGAGAAGGTCCCAGGTTGCTGGGCATTGCTTCCATCCGCAAACATTCTCAAGTATATTGTATTTTTTAATTCAGAACTGTATCCTTCCTGACATGCAAGACACAGATATCCATTGAATTCAGTATATGTATTCTCTATTGGGCATGAGGGAAGAAGATTTCATTAGCAGTTTGTGTGAAAATCATTTTATTTTATATTCAGTTTGATGGCACCAGAGTTCAATGCTGATGGCAAAATCTAAAGCACAGGACTCATCCAATACCCTTTGGAATCAATGTGATTCTTAACACTAACTTCAGTGAAGTCAGCATTTCTGCCTAATTTTTTTTTTTTTTAATAAAATGCATAGGTTATTACTATTAATACATTCTGATTACCTCTAGGATTCTGCCAGACTAAATTATGGCAGTTTGCCTGCCTCCCAGGACAGTTTCTGTGAATCCCAAAAGCTTACACTTTGCATATAGTAATTATATCCAATAAAAAAATAGCATGAAGTGACTTCCAAAATCCAAAGATCAAAAATTCAGCTAACATATATTAATCTTTATTATATAACAATGATAGAATAAATAAGTTTATGGATTCATATGACTCGTACAAAAAGCCAAAAAGATATTGCCCCAAGTTAGGTACCAGCTATTTGGATTTAATATTTGTTAAACGTATGATCTAAAATTATGTACAGTTGTGAAGTTAAGGCAAAACCAGATGATACCTTTAACACAACAGGTTTGAAAAATACACATAATTACAAACAAGGGGATCTCGTCTCCAGCTAATAAAGTGGTTGTGTCTAAGGAAGGAATCCCTTAGGTTTTTAATAAAGCAGTTATTATCAATCATGTTGATTAAAATTGAATAACAGGTGCAAGAGTTCCTGCAGGGCAAAGCTGTTTTGCAAAGTTGTGCCTCAATAACCACCTCTAATGCTGGTAAGAATATTTTTCTTTATGGTTATAATCTGCTCTTCTCTTTAGGAAACACAGAAAAGAGGAATACCTTATTACAACTAAAATACAACCATAATATCTTAGCTTTCTGTAGGCTAGACTTGATTGTGACAGGTGACAGAGCCTAAATATGGTTGGTGAATCATCCAACACACTACACACAGAGGAGAATTAAAGTCAACCACTTATGAATAATAATTACCTTTCTCAACACAATGGGATAGATCATGTCAGTTAAGTCCCAATGACAAAAAACATGTATGACCAATATATCAATATACAGTTCTTTGGCAGCAACACACTAACTCTTGATTGGAGTCTGAACTCTCCTAAATATAGACCTGGTTGCCAGTCTTTTCATAATTAAAGAAAATCCACTTCTCCCATGAATCCAATAAGTCCAGTAAATGAAATCAGAACAAATTTTGCAGGCAGCTTTAGACTGTAACATTAAGCATAGATATTTATTGTCTGCTTTAGTCCCAATCCAAATATATTGTATTTAAACACACAAAATTCTGTGAAACTTCTGAGTAGTTCAGATGGAGCCAAAATCCATAAAGAGAATCCATATTCACCCATGAAAAAAAAAAACAATAAAGAGACATCAATCCCATGATGATAAAATGCTCTTCATGTAACAGGGGCAATGATGAGTCCACATCTGGATGGATATCACAGGAAAATTGACTTTACAGGGGAAAGACCAGAAAGCCAGAAAACGTAGAATACTGCCATCCACCGACCAGATTACCTTTCTCCAGTTTCAGGTAAACCTTATCCTCCTTGTCCAGATAGAGCAGGACTCCATTTGTGGCAGCTTCACGTGTGACATCCTTGTCCCCAGCAAAAGCAGAAATGACTGGCTTTCCATTTAGCATCAAATTAACCTACAAGAGAAGAAAACATTGAAAATCTGTCATTAACAGGAAAACTCCAAGAACTACCACTGAATATTAACTACAAAGTAAGAGGTCTGCTAAGGTCCCAGTCTTCACTATGTTTTGTTTTGTTTTGTTTTGAACTAATAATTACATTATTAGTATTTGGAGCATAAAAGCACTTTCATTCTTCATGGGCTTCACCTGCAGCTGAGTGAAGTTGGTGGGGCACTGTCCACCAACCGCTGTGGACCAGGCATAGTTAGTGTGCAACATGACGTTGCTTTCCTCTGTTCCTTGGGGCATTAATTGTAACTCTCTGGTACATGGAACTGAGAGCTGTTACCTCAGTTTGTTTCATCTTGCCTCATGGGTTATTTAGATGTTCACTAGCAAAGGTATTTCAAGAAACAAGGCACCCAGAGATGCACTATAGGCACCTAATGAGATGTCAAAGATGCTGCAGCAGGCTGCAAACTTATACTTCGTTGAGAGCAAAATATATGTCCCTTCCATAACTGACAGTAGCTTAGTTTGAAAGTCTAGAACACACCTTTAGCTTTAAGAACCACCACACTGTGTTTTGGTGCTGAATCCGTTTTCCTACAAAGCACTTTTGAAAGTCAGCACAGCATCTGCTCTGAACACAGCATCACACAGATACTCTGTAAATAAAGATGGGCAGGGGCTGGGGGAATGGACAGATCCAGGCTTTTTTAATTTCCCCAGTGGCAAACTATTTGCTTTCTTCTGCTTTTTCTTTCTAAGCAGCTATAATGCAGTCACAGAGGGGTGAATTATGAAATGCTTATTCATATGGAGTATGCTGGCCTTGCATATGCTCCCATTAATTTTAATCGGAGCCACCACAGAATAAATTAGTGCTCAGCATAAGTCAGGGCAGCAGAATCTGGCCCTGATTTGGGATTTGCCTATCTGGGAAATCTACTTAATCAGATGTCCCCAGGGAACCAATTTCAGTTTAATGATATTTAATGGCACTACCAGATGTTCCAGGGGCATAGTAATATCACTTATGTAGAAAGCCTTCAGGTGATTTAGTGGTGTTTAAGTCTGCATGTGGCTGAGCCTCAAGCTGGTTAGCTCCACTGCAATGGCTTTTGGTCCTCCCCCTAGCTATTACACATGCAAGACAAGGGCATCAAGAGTTTACTCATTGCTGGGTTTTGTTTTATCACATTCCTTCTGTGCCACCTCTTTAGGTCAGGTTCCCCTGCAGATCATCTTACAGCTATTTTAATCACACCAGAAGAACACATTACAGGCTTGCACCAGGTAGTCTCATGTTAACTATGCCAAATTTGGAGTCAACCAAACCCATCCATCACTTTAGGAACTCTTCATGTATGAAAGATTTCAGGCCATGTCACAGGTTGTAACATTCTCTGTTAGAAGCCCTCAGCTCCCAGGTTTGAGTGCCTGGTGTATGAAACACCAAGCCTGCACTGGACTTCCAGAATCCAAGCTCTGACATTTTTCTTGGCAATATGTATTTTAAACCTAATGCAGCTGGCTGACACACAGTTATCACGTGTTGTTTCAACCTCCCGCATATGAGAGTGACAGGAACAAAGTTTGAGCATATTAAATAGCTTATAAGCTCATTATAGAGATTTTCATGAGGTCAATATTCCATTTAAGACTCTTGTCATTGATCTGAATGGATCCATGATTTCATGTTGTAAAATGAAGGCGAATTTCACCAGGGATGTGACTGTGTCTCACACCAGCTTGCTCAGCCATTGCTATACTTTTCCCAGGAGCCCAAAGTCAGAGCTGCCACAAAGAAATGACTGATCACTCATCCTGCAGATACCCATTTTATCCAACCTTGTACACTGAAAACCACATTTGAGGACAAAACAGATCAGGGGAGAACCATCAGAGACTTCTACGAATCCAGTGGTCTCATGGGTGGAAACAAGGGAAGCCACAGATGTTATTCCAGATTGAGAAAGCCAGTATGTATGTCACAGAAATTGCATGACCTGGCATGAAGATTTAGTAATGCACTTTTAGGAATTTACTGCTAGTTCAGCAAGGGATGTTCAGGAACTTAGAGGCTTTCCCTCTAAGCTAGAGCATGCTTATATTTAATTGCACAGTTCAACTGCTGTTAACTACAGAAGAAACTGCAGAATCACTCCTTTGTTAAAGAAATATATGACATGTCTTTTCTGTATTATATGGTGAAAAAAAAGTTTAAAGTGATATAAAGGTTCCCTAGAAGACATCCCTGAAGAAGTGTAACATTTTGGTGTAGTTACAGAGCGAGCAGACCACCTTAGCTAACCTTGGTCCACATCAGACTGCTGTTACAAACAGACACCCGACATCAGGAGCTGTCAGCCAGGTCACAGTTTGTTACAGAAATAGCCAAATCTGGTGTGTATCCCCAGAACTCCTGTGCTCAGGACATTGAGTTTAACCTGTAGCAAAATATGACTCCTCATTAGTACTTATGCAGTTAAGTTTAGAGCTCCATTTTACTGTTGGGTGATTCAATCTATTTAATAGTTTTATGTCACCCCAGATACTCAGTTCTTGCGCTGTAGAAGTGAAGCTGTGGCAATTTGCTTAAGGTAAGGGTCTTGCCTTATAACAGCTGTTAAATGTATTCACAGTTTAAATGTATTCACTCTACTGCTAGGAACTCTACACCACAGCACAGGTTGCTTTATATTAAGCTATTTTGTTTGGAAAGTCTTAAATACTCCTGTGTTCAGTCAAGATCCTATTCTAAATCAACAATACAAGTAAAATGTTTTATAATTATAATCAACGTACCTGAATTGTTTGGCTCTGATAGACTTTAATTACGTGAAAACTGAAACTGTAAATTCCTTTTCTTGGTGCTACAAAGACAGACTCCAATGTGAAAAAATTGCCCACATTTACTAGGATCTGCAAACAGAAAAATATAGTATGGGAATTAGCACAGGCATTCCGTGCTACGTGAAGAATAAAGACTATTAACTTTAGAAACCATTCACCCGTGGAGTTTTCTTATCTACATCTCTGTTGGTTCATTCATTCTCTCAATTAAGCTGGTATAATACTCATTAAATGGATATTTAATTATATTGAGAGTACAACTTTACAATAAATAAACTAGGACAAAAATAATTCTTATTTTGCTACTATATCATAACTTCAAGACTTTTCTTCTATACGTGTTTAGAGGAGAGTAAGCAAAGGCATATTTGTTTATCATTTGCCCCAAACAACACCAAAACCCTAACTCAGGGAGCGACATGCTGCTTTTGGCTAAGAAGCAACAGTCAAGTCAGCACTGTCTTCCTGAAAGTATCAAGCAGAGAGGAAGGATGTACATGAAGGATACAATTCATTCACCAGTTTAATAGGCAGACTGAGTTACTGCGATACCTGGCACATCTGAGCTGCGACTGGCTGTGAGCTTTTGCTGCTTTATCTGGGTTTGTAAGCACTAATAACGATTTGAGGTTGATTAAACAGAGACAAGTTATGCCTTATTTTTTAAATTGTTGTTTTCAGGCTGCTTTATGCCAGACGCAGCCCTGGAAAGCCACTAGGAATGACGGTGAACTTGAGGTAATTTACACTGCTAGCATTAAGCTATGTGACATATCTGGCTTCAGTTGTCATGACAATTTAATGTCCATTATAATGTGTTATGGGAAGAAAAATAACCATCAGTCTCAATTACTTTGGACTCGCCCTCAGACGGGAGCTGGTGTATAAAATGTGTGTTGGCATCCCTACGTTACTATTAGTGACTGAGAAGAGAGAAGCTGTAGGTTGAACCTGATCGTTATGGAAAAGTTAAATGATTTTTCTTTCATTTTCGTTCTTCTTTTCCCCCTCAAAGGCCGTCTGAAAACCTGCATCGGCTCCTCTCACCTGTGAAAACCCCATCCCATCCCTCCCACGACCACGTTCCCGCTTGGCATCCGGCGAGAGCTGCCCTCACGGCCCCGGCCGCTGCCCCGCTGGGCTCGGGACCCGCTTCCTCCGCGGCTCCCAGGGCGGAGCGGGCGGTGCACGGACCCGCGGCCCCGACGGCGGCTGCCCCGCAAGGGCTGCCCCCCACCGACCGCGCTCCGCCCCATCCCCTGGGGGCAAGTGGGAAACTACCGCGGGGCTCTCCGCGGTGCGGCTCCCCCGGCCCCACAGAGCCTCCAGCTGCGGGGTGCGGGGGCTCGGCGGGGACTCGCCGCAGGCGGCAGCCCCCCGGCACCCTAAGTTTTCACCGTAATTAACGGTTGAAGTGGGGGGGACCCCGCGGGGCGAGGCACCTGTTGATGGGGCACGGGCTGCCCGGCCGCGCCGCGTACCTGGTCGAAGTAGATGATGCGCGTCTTGTTGCTCATCTCGGAGGGCTCGTGGTTGGTGCTCCTCACGGCCGAGAAGGCGACCTTGGAGTTGGCCGCCCGCACGGAGATACCCAGCGGGGAGGAGGACGAGCCCTTGGCGTCGGTGGCCGGGTTGGAGTCGCAGACCACCAGGCACTTGCCCTCCAGGACGATGGGCTCCGTGTCGTTCTGCGCCCACACCGCGGGGCCGCCCAGCGCCAGGGCCAGCAGCACGGCGGGCAGCAGCCGCCAGCCCATGGTCGGCACCCGCGGCCGCCGCTCCGCGTCCCGCGCCGGCCACCGCGCCGCGCAGCACCGGGAGGCAGCGCCCGCAGCAGCGGCAGCCGCTCTGCTCACCCCGCGCACGCACCCGCGCACGGGCACACACGTGCACCCGCGCACACACCCGCACCTCCCGGCAGCGCCGCGCTTGAAGTCCTCTTTCCTCCGGCTTCTTGCCTCTGCCTCGGTTTTTCTCTCCTTCTTCTCTTCTCCTCCTCCCTCCCCGCCACCACTTTGTGCCTTTTCTTTATGTTCGATGTCTTTCTTTACCCGGGTCCTTTCCCGAGCTCTTTAAACACGCCACAAAAAGCTGCCGAACAAAATAAACACTTCCCGGTGCCCCCTTTTCTCCCCCCTCTCCACATCCAAACAAGAGAGTGAAAAGGGGGGGTAGGGTGAGGAAAAAAAAAACAACCCTCAGGTGAATTATTGGTGAGAAGAGAGAGGTCATGAAGAAATAAACCCATTTGGCGTTGCCATGATTGTTGATGCTGGCTTGCTCTCCCCTTTGAGCAGGAGTTCCAGGCTGCTGTGTGAGGTGGAGTGGAGAGGTGGCAGCTTACCCCAGCGCTGCCAGATCCTGGGTCTGATATCACTGCTGGGTGCTGCAGGCTCTAATTCTCTCTCCCTCTTTCCCCCCCACCCCCGGCCACAACCCCCCTCCTCCAAAGAGTTATGTCATAGCAAACCTGCCCAGCTCGCACCTAGCGGGGCAGACACCACGCTTCATCACTGCAGACCCTCCTCTTGGGTTGCCCCCTGCGCAGACACACGCTTGTCTTCCCAGGCAACTTTTCAAGCAGCTACAAAGCAACAGAACATCTCGTGTCCCCTGTTTGCAAAAGGAGGAGGGGGAAGGAGCCGCAGCCTGGTTGAAAAGGCAGCATCTAAACCTGGAGGAGTCTCCCAGTACACAGACCTCCTGGGTCTGTATCTGTGGCTTGCGTTTGGGCATGACACCATGACCCTGTGCACACCAATGCTGATTCCTCCTCGAAGCCAGCCACAGTGAAGTCACTGGTAGGACTTTGCTGGCTGCTTTTTGAGGATTAATGTTGCCAGGTAATCCTAATGGCAGCTTCTGGTAAGGTTTTGATTAGACACTACTAAGAAGTATTAGTTTCTCGTTTTGATGCATGCAGGAAGGAGTGGAAGACTGAGGAAGTACCTTAGCTTCATGCACATATTTCAAGACTATTAAAAATATTTCCCCCATCACCTGCTCCCTTTTGAAATAGTTTAGTGGTGAAACCCAAGCCCTCTTCAAGGGCTGGCAGAAATGACATAGTGATCTCAGTAGCAGAATTGGCTAAACAGATTTCCATCCAAGCCAACAGCAAAGCACCAATACTTTGTCAGAAATTGAGCATAGATAGGCATCTTTCAAAACAGCAGATTATTTTTGTGCCTATAACAGCTTTGCAACAAATATGTCCCATGTGAACCCTTAACCATCAGCAGCCTTCATTCCCTTCTTGCCCAGAGGCATCTCCATCTGGGTACAGCTGTTTCACCTTTCAAACCCAGCTGAGAAAGGGGCTGAGCTGTTCTGGAGCTGGGAATGCCAGCACATCTTGCTGCTTCCCATTCTGTAGAGGATCAGCCTTGTGATACAGTCAGCTCACACAGCACCTCAGCTCCATGTGCTAACAAATGCTCACCATAAATCTGGACACCAAGGGATGAAAGAAATTAAAGCAGCAACAGGAATCTAAGAAGAAATAAAAAGCCATGAAACGCACTCTATTGTACTCCAAGAATTTCTGCAGGCACACATGAACTGGGACTGTTTTTAGAATCAGAATCATAGAACAGTTAGGGTTGGAAAGGACCTTAAGATCATCCAGTTCCAACCCCCCTGCCATGGGCAGGGACACCTCACACTAAACCATGTCACCCAAGGCTCTGTCCAACCTGGCCTTGAACACCGCCAGGGATGGAGCATTAACAACCTCCCTGGGCAACCCATTCCAGTGCCTCACCACCCTAACAGCTGATGTGGAGGACTAAGGGTGAAGCATTAAGTCTGCAAAACTCAACAAAGTCTTTGAGAAGCCATAAATCAGCCAAAAGTCCTCTTAGCTAGCAGCAAGCACCATACTCTAACATCCCAAAAGCCACACTCAAATTTTAAGGAATCCTATTGGCCAGATAAGAGATAAAAATGAATCTTACTGTTTCCTCGGAATGTGTCTCCTATTTAGTGACAGCAGCAAAAAAAAAATGGAAGAGCAAGCTGAGAAGCACCACTTACTGTAGGGAAAGGAAACAAGAAATAAAGCAAATACGTACAGCACAACTTTGTCCCTTTTGTAGAAATTGGATCTGCAGATTAAAAGATTTGTGCTGGTGTGTCAGAGCCCCTGCCTGAAGAACTCTCACGAAACAGGAACAGATTTTGTGGCACAATGTTCTGTGGATAAATACAAATGTATAAATAATTCCACACTGTTGCAACATCTCAATCCTTAAAAACCCTTCTGTACCTCGTGCTGCTGAGCAGCCTCTTAGCACCGCACAAAGAACAGGAGCTGTGTTCATAGCATGGACATAAGTTTAGATTAAAATTTGAAACTGCTGAGAATTTTGTCAGAGATCAAAAACTTTACAATCATTCCTGACAAGTTGCTTGACTTTTGTTGTGTTGTGGACAATGCCATCAGCTACCTCAGTAGTGGGGAAAACATGAAAAAAGCAAGACAATAGCCAAAACTAAGATGAAGAAACTGAAAAAAAAGGGAAAGTAACATCATAACCCCACCTGGTCAGCAAGACAAGGTGGGAGCTGAATCAGATCTTTTCAGCAGTTGACTTTCCTATTTCCTTGTCTGCAGGTGCAGGCACCTGCTAAGCCTGGCCTGGCAAAAAGCATTTTCCTGTTCCACTTCTCTCACTTGAATATGGAAGCGGCTGTTTTGCAGAGAGCAGACGCACAAGTGCAGACAAAGATCAGAATCACCTCTCACTTCTGTCCTTTCCTCCCAGAGCCGTGCATTCGTTTCTGTGCATGCAGGTTACTTGAGCAGTGTGAACACATAAGCAAGCATGCAACTAACTAATTGCAGCCATTCGTGGACACAGCTGCCTCATTTCAGAGCTCAGTTGCCATAAGGTTAAATGCAAGTTAGGAGCAAATATGTACACACATTTTGCATGCAGTCATAAAACTTCTTCTGAGAGCACAGTCTGCAAAATCGATGTGCTCCTCATCCCATGCATCCTAGTCTGGAGAAATCAGATAATATCACAAAAAACTCTTAGAAAGTACTGTCAGTCTGCACAGATAACACAAGACATACCTTAATGGTTAACACCGTACTTACCAGCTAGGAAAGGAGACTGAAGCAGACCATCCTGCAGCAGATTACACTGCAATTTACAAAACTGTTTTGGCAGATGGCGCTCAATTTTGACTTCAGGGATACCCTAATCTGAAGGCAGTCCAATTAAACGAGGTTCCTAATGACAATTACATGAAGAAGGGAGCAGATTCTGCCTCTCTATTTTGCCCACATCAGTGCTTGGCACATCTCATTTGAAAGACTTTTTGAACTGTGGTATTTGAGATGTTCCACACCACACACACACACCACACACACACACTAGGACTCCTATTCCTGTGTTGGTGCCTTTGAGTTGGGACATTTGTCCTTATTTACAAAAGGGTATGGACAAACCCTTTTCATCATATCCTTTTCAATGACAAACCCTTTTCATCATGTCCTTTTCAATGCCTAAAACACATTCTAGAGTACTACTGACTCAGATGTGTTTCCTGATTGCAGCTCAGTCACACTAACAGCTTTCATGGATTTGAAGGAACAGGACCAAGCAGAGGCTGTACAGCAGCACTGGCCCTTGTCTGCAGCTGCTGGTACACACCAGAGCTCTCTCCCTCATGGAAACCAGCAGCAGCTCAATCAGAAATTTTGCTCCATGCTCAGGACTGGGAGGCACTGTGCTTCACTGAAGTAGTCTTTCCCCCAAAGGGTAAACAATATTGAGATTTCAGATGACATTTATTAACAACATGAATTCAAGAGATAAAGAAGACTATTACAACTTTTCCTTAGCAATAAGCCACTTGCAGGATGGAGACAAGGCAGCAGAATACTGAGATGGTATAGTGTGAGGTGGCAGGGGGTTGGAACTAGATGATCTTAACATCCTTTCCAACCCCAACTATTCTAACAGCAGGACAAACAAAATTCAACACAGTGATCATGATTCAACAGCTAAGTCGTACTAGCACAGAGGAAATCCTGGTAGATTTTATCTGTTCCAGGAGAAGAAAAGCAAAATAGAGACCATCAGGGAGAGTGCATTCTGGGGAGGACAGAACTGAGCTGAAAAAAAGAAACTGAATTCTTCCTGGAAATCAATTTAATATAAGCTATAATGAAGATAACTAGCCCAGAGAGCCCCATCACCAAAATACCCGAGACATATCACAAAATAACTCCTCCTTTTTTCCCACCCATGCAGCAGGAAGAGTGCTTTCAGGTTCTTAGTACCAGTGTTTGTGTGAGTAATTGGGCTGGGCTTCACATGCTGAACAAAATGAGGGAAGTTTGCTGCAGCTGCTGTGCAAAGGGCGAGTTGAAAAACTGGCATTTAATTCATAAGCAGCAAGGTTAATGATTGTTCTTATTTCATCTGACAAAGAATTTCTTAGTATTGATCCAGCTGCCTCTAACAGGGATTTTTTTTGTTCTTCCTTTGAAAGAAAAATGAGTAAAGTAAGTAGCAGCAATGCTCAAGAATGGAAATGCAGTTAGATTAAGCTCACAGTTTCTTTCCCTTTCTGGACACACACTGTGGAAACCTAAAACTGTCTCCATTTAGAAGTATTTTGCCCTTTCACAAGGAACTTTCTGTGCCGAGGCAGGTGTGCTCGGCATCTTTCTGACAAAGGGAAGAGCCACAGGGAGAATAAGGAGAGAACACCATGTTTGCATTTACATTTTCTTTTACCACTTTGCTTGTAAACCTGCATTAAATACAACTTCTGTATCAATATTGCATGATACCTTTCAAAGCTCTTTGGGAAAAAATCCATCTTGCTTCGTATAATTACTCATTTGCCTTACAAAAGGGAGAAATAATCTGCCTCTGACTTCCTCTCCTGCTTTTGAGCCTCTTGCTTGTGTCTGGAGGCCTTATGAATGCTACTAGCCCCTCGGTGACAGGAGCCCTCCTTTCACTCCTTTTCTTTATTTCTTTATCCTAATTATATTTCCCTCCTGTCAAGCTGAGCTTTCTGTTTGCTGAATGTGTAACATGGTTTTGTAGTGAGCTGGTTGAACATGCATCAGCCTCCTCCTAGGATGAAACCCCCAGCTCCAGCACTGCTCTATTTGGCTTTTTGCTAAACTCCCCCTAATGAGGATGCATGAAGTGAACCAGTTGTGGGGACACGGTGGGCAGAAAGAATGGATTCAAAGGCAGAATACTGCTGATGGTTCAAAACTGTGTTTATGGAGCTCAGTGGTCGGACTTTCACCATCTTTGAACATCCTTTCAGGCTAAATACTGTATTTCCTGAGTAGGCTGTCATCTCCATCTGGATGCTGGCTCCCATACAGACTGACTTGTCTTTTAGACAGCTGTCCCTGTGGCCTTCAGCTAGTTAAACAGTTTGTTGCCCAAATCCAAAACAAACTCACCTGGTTAATGGGCTTAATGTTTCTTAAGAAGATTCCATAAATATTTTATAAAGTAAATGTCACTTCATTTATTTAGTCACAAAATACAAAGAGATCCTCTAGGAATGCAACAAAATCTTCAGCCACACATAGAGCCAAAATGACTACAATGAACAAAAGTTCTTGCTATTTAATTCAGACAGATGCAGAATCAAACCTCGCTTTCCCTTGCTTTGTTTTAATCTAAAATTCAACTTTCTTGGCTTCTAAGTATCACACACAGTATCACAGTATGTTAGAGATTGGAAGAGACCTCAAAAGATCATCTAGTCCAATCCCCCTGCCAGAGCAGGAACACCTAGATAAGGTTACACAGGAACGTGTCCAGGCGGGTTTTGAATGTCTCCAGAGAAGGAGACTCCACAACCTCCCTGGGCAGCCTGTTCCAGTGTTCCGTCACCC